GTTTAACTCTTTAAGCCTCTCCTAAAAATCTGTTTACAAACAGATTTATCAAATCTTTCATAACGTCGACGACTGGTGAGTATTTAAAAATCCCTCTGCCTCTCGGTGTCACCTTATATGGATCAATTACTCAGAGGCGCCATTCATCTGCAAAAACACATTAATCCATTGCTGTCCAGGTTAACTGAGACATACCTCAACTATCTCATCCAGCCATCTAGTTGTGGAGTATATAAGCCCTGCAACTAAGATTTTCTATCATGATCAATCTCTGTTTGATTTCTCCTATAACACTGATAGTTTGATTTATTACATAGGGAAGTAGTTAAAGTGTAGCTTTTATCCTTTTTCTCATTTTCTGTCCTTTACATTATGTTACATTGTAGAATTTCCATAGAGAAAAATGGCGGAGGTCTGAAGTAATAAGTAAAGTTTTTGGAAAAGTGACGTCTTTAAATAGAAAGCCAAGGCTGCAGACTGCTGTATTTTCTCTGTTTTGTTCATCAAAAAGTGCATTTAAGTCAAAAACAAGTTGCTCCATATCTAAACGTCTGCACATTAGACAGGTTCAGACTCTGCTTAAAGGGCAAGTATTGAATAATTCAGATTTTTTAGAAACTTTTATTCATGCAAACCTTCTCTTGTAGAGTGCTGTGCATCGCTTTCAAACCCATTCATTGTCTATGTGTTGCGCGGCAATATAAAGTATCTGAACCGCACCAAGCTGAATGCGGCGCAAGGTGGCTCTTTACATGTGTGCATGCTGCACAGAAACTAAACCATTTTCAACTTGGGTTCAGCACTTTGTGAGGACACCTCAGCACATCCAAAAAGAGGAAAATTCCCCCTTCCCTGAGCTCTATAATACCAGTTTATACCAGTTTAAAGACCTACCAGGACAGCTCATGTTTGGAAAGAAATTCCCAACAGTTAGGGCGTACAAGGCGTGTTTAGAAAAGCAGTGTTGTGCTTGAGAATCGTTCGTCTTAGAGCTGCAGCCCGGATGAGCCTAAACTTCCAGAAATCCTGTCCTGCCCTGGATATTTCACTCAAAACCACTGTACATATGAAAAACAGGGGAAAGGTCCTAAATACCACAGTGAATGGCAAAACTATCGAGCTGTAGGCATGAGCTGGGCATCAGGTGATGATTTGATTGGAAGGTGGAGTCTGGCAGCAGAAGGAGGGCGTGGCGGTCAGGAGCTGAATGGTGCTGATGTGATGGCCGTCTCATTCATGCTGATGTGGTTGGTTGCTCTCAAAACACAAACAATGTTTGGTAAAAGGGACATCTACTAGCTAGCGCTAGCGCAATCACAGCACACACCGCATCCTAATTGAAAGGCCCTTTAGGAAATATGTAGAGCTTTAACGGACATGGTGGGTTACTTAATGGGGGCTGAGAAATGTGCAGGGTCTTATTTGATTCAAGGCACAATCCACTATCCCTCTACTTGAGCCAGGCATCTTTACACTTTTCCCTCAGAGAAAAGGTAAAATTACTGTGGGGAAGAGGGGAAAGTGGCAGCGGAATGGTAAAATGGGGAGGAAAGAGCAGAAGGAGTGCAGGACCTTGTTAAAGCCCCTCTGTGAGAGCCAAGGAAAGGCTGCAGCTCCCAGTCACTAAATGTGCCTGATGACGGAAGAGGGAGTGAAAAAAATCATGGTTATCATCGTTAAAGGGCTTCAGAGGTGGATATAACTGCTCCCAAAGTTTCTTCATCTGGTACAGATAAGCCATGCTCCAACTGATGTTGGACCAATATTTATTACTTTCCTTTTTGTCAGCAAACACAGTGAAAAACTAAAATGAAGTAAATAAAGACACAAGCATTTATGAGCACAGATGACTATACAAAAGCTAAACAAAATGTCTTTTACAAATAAAAATACAATTACATACCGTGTGCACCTTCTAACCAGAAATGTTTAGGCTTTGCTGTCTTTTAATGTTCTTCACAGACGCATCTCCTTCATCTATGTCCTACCGTTGGTACTAGCTTCTGGCAGCACGTTTTATTGCTTCAATTAAACATGTGAACGCGCATGCTGACCACTCAGCGCAACACACAATTAGACCAGTAGGTGTCAGTAACAGAGAATAGAATCTGAACACATTTCAAAAATAAAACATTTTCTCTGTAATTACAACAAAATTCTGTTCAAAGAAATATAATTTTCTGCGACAGCTACAGTGGATGCTGCAAAATAAGAAAAGGAGTGCTGGTTTGGAAACTTGAAAAGTGAGGAAGAAATGGGAATGAGACAGAAGTAAAATACAACCATCCGCTTGACAAACTGGTCATTTTTAACCATTCTTTAAAGTGAAAAAAAAATATGAGATCGATATTGGCCCATTTAATGAGCAAAATGTTGAAAAAATTGCAAATTACATAAAATTAAATTGAGGAATAAGGTCAACCACTCAACTACTCTCTATAATCTTGTTGACAATGTAACAAAACAAATTGTTCAAGTTTTCAACCCTGTGAACCATTTATAATATTTTACCTCATTAAGTCTTCAATCATTCAATCCTTGTTGAATTTTCCGTCATGGACTCTGAGTCTGACAAATAGCATAAATGAATAATGCAGCAGTGGAGGCAGCCTATCATAGAGACTAACTCCTCTGGTGTTTGGAGGCCACCTCAGCTAGTGGTTTAAATCCAACAGTCACAACACGTTTAATGAATAACAGTGTTGATAAAACAACTTAACAACCTTTTCATTTAGAAATAAGCTCTCTGATCCTCTTAACCTCCAGGCTCCGCTCAGTGTTCAGGAAAATGTCCGGCCTGATTTTAAATTGGTGAGAGTAACAGATAAAACTCACAAAATATTCAGCTCTCAGAGGTTTGCTGCTTTAAGCAAAAGTCAAAAGAAAGGAAGCTTTTAATCTGTGCACACCTTGGCAGAGATGGAGTCATCCTTTCAAGTGTCTGACTGTTTCAAAGTGGTCCTATAAAAGAGAGAAATCTAAAGCTGGGTGTCTGGGGAACAAAAACACTGCAGGGAGAGGAGACTCTCATTTGGCAGCCATCTTCCCCGGGCTGATGGATGAAGGGAGGAAATCATCTCATGACTAATTATTTATCTTTCCTGGAGAAACGTTGTGTCTGGAGGGCTGGAAATAACACAACCCTCCTCTCTGACCAAGTTGTAAACAAAGCAGAATGATGTTGGTGACTGAGGGTCCTCTTCCTCCCTCACTGCACAGTAGAACATGGCTGCCATACACACTGCCCACACACACAATCTGACTGCTTGGATTTCTTCTTTCTTTGGTTTTGTTTATCAGAGTTGTTGCTCCCTATATCTGGAACAAACTCCCAGAAAACTGCAGGTCTGCTGAAACTCTCAGCTATTTTAAATCGAGGTTGAAGACACACCTGTTTACAGCTGCCTTTAATTAAACAATTTTCATAAGATTTTAAACATTATCTCTGCACTGTAACTTTTAACTCTTTTCATATTTTTTACTTTATTTATTTCAATTAATTTCATTTGAATTATTTTTATTTGAACATATTTTCAGATTTAATAATAACTCTGGGCCATTAGGGGAGACCAGGCTTAACTTCAGACTTGTACTGTGTTTGTGATGGAGCAGACACCTTGCAGGAGGGATTCTATTCTAATAGAGGGAGGTCTGTGCCCTCTCACACTCTGAGCTCCTCTAATCTCTAATTCATATATTCAAGGAGTAGAAACAGGTGAGAGCTCAGTGGGTCAGAGAACGGGGACCAAGGAGGGTGATATCTCTCTGCTTGAAAGACTAAAGGAGCGAGAATTTAAAAAAGGGGGAGGAGAAAAAAGCCTGACTCCCTCTCATCCTTCAATGAACCTATCAGTGGATCCTATGAGGAGAAGAAAGGCTAAAGTCCTTGAGCTCCACACAGACCAGACCAGGATCAAAGGGAATCCCCTTCTGATCCAAATGTCGTCTGAATGTTTGATGGTAGCCGAGACATCAAGGTGAGGCCGGAAAAAGACGTGACTCAAGAAAACTCTGATCATTTTCCGATGAGAATGTCACACAGGAGCTTTTTTTCTGAGCACATGAATGTACAGTACATATATAATTCAAAATACTGAAAGGACATTTATTTAAAAAGTTGTATGATTGGATTTTCAAAGGCCCGTTCACTTTACAGTTTCTCTGAGTACATTAAACATCTTCTGAGGCTGTACAAGCTTTTTACTTTCACAGTAAAGACTTACTGTTAAATAATGGAGAATTAAAATACTGAGATATGACACATTCACATATTGTAAAACACATTCATCAGGTTTAACTGACATATTAATCTGCATAGACTGTATTAATTCTTGTCACTGAAAGGTTAAGTTCAATGTGTCACATTGTCATCGTTCAGCAGAATTGAAAATGCTTACACACCTACAGTCCTGCTCAAATCCTCCTTGCAGACATGTAAATACATGTAGTCATATATGAACGCTGCTGATGCTGACTCACAGGAACCTGAACGCAGCATACACAGATTATTTCAGCTCTGACAAAGACCTTCAAGGATGCAGGGGAGCTATTGTGTTCAAAGTGTTGTTTCCTCAGAGGACACTGAACAGGACGAGAGTATTTACAGTTTATTATTCAGACGCCGTCACTGAGCACTCTCAACCTCGTTTACAATTTAGCATGTTGTGCTTTCTCATAGCTTTCATTTCATTTATGCATAATACTACACATGAAAGAGATTTCTGAAGCACTAATGTTGTGACTACATCAACAAGCAAGAAAGTGAGTGCAAAGAATCATATGAATAATGCACACCTTAAAGACATCATTGCTCATGAGGCAGTGTACAAACCTTTGAAGTGAAGATTTGGGACATTGTATGACTCTAAATAAGCTCAAAGGGACCTGAGAGAAAAAAAGAAGCTCTGTACGTGGGTCACAGGTTATTAAAGAGCTAACTTGTTCAAGTTAAATGAGGAAATGGGAGGGGACTCAGTGACACAGCTGGAAGAGAAAGTAAAAAAAAGTGAAACCAAAAGTAGAAACAGAGCCGTGTGATTCAACTGTGCTTTACAGACCGGAGAGAGATTATAAGATAACTACTGACAACAGGTAAAGTTGAACTCTTTGATATTATTGGTCATGTCTTTAGTGTTTACTGACATATTTCAGTGCTTTCAACAACTATAAATCTTGTTCAACTTTTGACCCTCTAACTTTTTCATTTGGTGTTTTCTAGAAATGGCTTGTGCCAGTAGTCTAATAGTGGAGGACAACTTTCTTTGCTCCATCTGTCTGGATGTCTTCAACCAACCTGTGGCGATTCCCTGTGGTCACACCTTCTGTCGTGGCTGCATCACACTCCACTGGGACACTAACAAACCTTTATTCCTGTGTCCACTGTGTAACAAGGAGTACTCAAAGATACCAGACCTTTGTGTCAACACTGTCCTCGCTAATGCTGCCGAAAAGGTGAAAAAGACAATTCAAGAAAGACCCCATGACACCCCCGAAAAAGCAGGAAGTGGACATGTGCTCTGTGGTATGTGCACTGGGGGGAAGCTCAAAGCCACCAAGTCCTGCTTAACATGTTTCATGTCTTACTGTGACGCACATCTGGAGCCTCATCAGAGAGTTTTACCCTTGAGGAAACACAAGCTGATCAACCCGGTCGAGGACCTCGTGAGCAGGATCTGCAAAGAGCATGGTGAGCCTTTGGAGCTGTTCTGCAAAGTGGATTCAATGTTTCTATGTAGAGTCTGTGTAGACAGTGACCATAAAAGCCATAAGACAGTGAGTGTGGAGGAGGAGGCTGAAATGAGGAAGGACGAGCTGGGAAAAGAAAAGAAAGACATGGATCAGATGATTCAGACGCATCAGCAGAAACTTCTAGAGATCCAACACTCAGTGGAGGCGAGTGGAAATAATGCAGAGAAGACGCTGGCATACAGCAAGCATGTGATGACTGCTCTGGTGGACTACATCAGGAGAAGCCAAGTCGAGCTGAGTGAGGTGATTCAGACGAAGAAGAAAAAGACTGAAGAAGATGAGAAAGGCTTCATTAAAGAGCTGGAGGAAGAGATGATGCAAATAAAGCAAAAACAATCTGAACTTGATCAGGTCACTGGCATCAATGACTCCTTTAAATTCCTGCAGAGTTTCCTTTCTCTCACCATCACTCCTCCACAGGTGAAGGACTGGTCTGAGGTGACTCTTAACAGCGACCAGTTTACTGTGCAGGAAATATTGATGAAGCTGGAGACAACAGTGACAAGAGAAATCAGGCTGCTGTGTGATCCCGACTTGAAGAAAATGCAGTTTCATGCCGTGAATCTGACTCTTGATCCGGACACAGCGAACCCTTCTCTCATTGTTTCTGAGGACGGGAAAGAAGTCAAGTGTGGAGACAGAAAGAGGAACGTCCCGGACAAGCCAGAGAGGTTCGATCATGTCCTCAATGTCCTCGCAAAGGAGAGTTTTAATTCTGGAAAGTTCTACTTTGAGGTCCAGGTCCGAGGGAAAACCCAGTGGGATCTGGGAGTGACTAACCAGTCCATCAACAGGAAGGGGGACATGAGACTGAGCCCTAAGAGTGGATACTGGACCATCTGGCTGAGAAAAGGAAACGAGTTCACGGCCAATGCTGGCCCTGCTATCAACCTCCACGTGAGAGAGATTCCTCAAAAGGTCGGAGTGTTCGTGGATTATGAAGAAGGTCAAGTTTCCTTCTACGACGTTGACGCCAGGGCTCGCATCTTCTCCTTCACTGGATGTAACTTCACTGAGAGACTCTTTCCATACTTTGGACCCTGCGGTAACGACGGCGGTAAAAACTCAGCCCCACTGATCATCAGTCCTGTCTGTAACAACATCTGAGTTTTGGTTTTGTTGGTGAAGGACACAGGGTGAGGGGATGTGAGGAGGGTTTATAATAGTCAAGAAACTCCAATGTGTCATTTTGTTTCTCTCATCCATCAGTGTCAGTTACCTATCACACAGACAGCTTCAGATCTGTACACACGCAAAGAGCTAGCTATTAATTTTGATATCTGCAAGCTGCTCTTGTCTGAGAACATGTTCATATCAATACCAAAGATATAGGTCATACAGCACTTTCAATACTTTTTTGTGAAACTTGGAGTCAAACAAATTAAGTGTGTTTGCTTGTGACAGGCTGCTATTGAGAGATACAGCAGGTTCCAACAAACACCTGACTTTTGGACTGTTTGTATGAAGACTTCACTTTATTGATGAGCCACCTCTTAGGGCTATTTTATTTTCATCTTTTTGAATAATTAGTTACGACAAAAAGGTTATCCAGCTTTTTTTTCTGAAGTACTGAGTGTTCGAAACACTGGATAACAAATGTGTGCACCTCCTGTGTGCTGTTTAAATGAATTTTCATATGAGTGTGCAATAAATAAATGTGGTTGAGGAAGCTGCATCAGCAATCTCTTGGATATTTTTTATCTAAACCAGGTAAAAACCCACACCACGCTACAAAAAAATAAACTGAAATACTGACTCATTCCTCTGAAAAACAAACACAAATCAGCAACTGTCTTGAAAGCCTGAGATTCCCACAACATACACTTAGCAATTCTGTAGCAATCACTTGAAAACAATCCATCATGTTTCTTTCCCAGTATATTATGAAAAGCAATTTTCATAAACAGAAGAACTTGATTGTAATGATGACATAATGATAGCACACCATGTCTCACTGTGTTAAAGCGATCTCTGAGTACTTTGGACTGTGTAATTACTTTGCCTTAATGAGAGACAGTATGTGAAAAAAAAAGTCCATCATGTGGTTAGTGTGTGTGTGTGTGTTTCTACAGGAGCACATGTCTTTGTCCTACAGTATGTGCATTAAATGAAGTGCCAAATGAAATGAGATCAATCTATCCATTAGGGTCCCTTAACGAGACTAAAGCCACGTGGCTGATAATGAGTTGGTGCTCCTTCAGTCGTCCTCAGAGAGCTGGAGGACTGAAGCTGAAGAAGATCTGCAACCAGACAATCTCAGACCCTCTAAGCCTGTAAATGTTCAGCTCCAGATGTTGTAGAGCACCATCATTTAGTGTCTGCTCCTTCAGGGGGTTGTCTTCAAGTTAGCAAGGTTACTGATAGAAACTCCAGGAAACACTTATCATCTGTTATCATCAATCTGACATGACTGGGCCGTGCTCATTAGTCTGATGGAACAATGTTCTGTAGACTTTGTTGTTTCCAGGATATTATTAGCTTTGAAGCGACTGCTGTGCGTTCCCTGCACTTCATGCTGTGCAACGACAACATGTGGCTAATGGAACAATAAACAACTGAAACATCACACGGGAAACTGAAGTTATTCAAATATAAATATTGAATTCAAAGCTTCTGAGAAGTTTTACACAGCCAATGCGTTCATGGACATTTATCACTGTCACACCAGGAGCTGAAGATGTTTACTGACCTCTCAGGTTGAAAATGGAGGAAAAAGAAAATCTGCCTAATTCCAGACACCATTTACGTCTGCAAAGCATTTCAATGTGAAAGCTGCTGTAGTGACCTGGTAACACAGCAACAATGGTAAAAGGTTTGCATTGAGAGAGACAGAGATCAATGATTCTGAAAGGAATCCCTAACAAATGAACACACACCAGTATATATAAAATAATATACATTAATGTTTAATATGAAGCGGTCGCAAACCCTTTTTTTTACAAACAAATGTTTCACAAAGATTTAATTAATTGGAAGTATATAAAGCAATCATACATTATACACAATCTGAATAAAAAGAGATCAAACCATTCAAACCATATTCTCCTTTGAGGTTTTCTTTTGGTTTTCCTCAAAGCTGTGAAATAAAGAGGAACTGAAGTACGACATGTCATGAGGATAGAAATGCACTTATGCTGCTGATTGCACCTTTAATATGAAAGCGTTCATAACGTGAGTCAACGGGTAAAGAGAAAATAACGGATGAGTGACACGTGCACACGATCTCTGGGATGAAAAAAATACATCTGTGTGGCTTTTCCAGTGACAGGTTAGATCAGACTTTGATCTAAAGGCTTTCTGACAGGGTTTAAATATGAACACACACACACACACACACACACACACACACACACACACACACACACACACACACACACACACACACACACACACACACACACACACACATCTTTTCATTGAATCCACAACTTGAAAAAATAAACTTTATTTATTTCTAGCATTCAATTTGAGGATAAAAGTCAGGACAGTATAAGGTGGGCAGAGGGCACTGGCTGATAAATGAAGAAAGTCTTAAAAAAGAGAAAAATCTAAAGTGAAAACCATGCTAAGCTCATCTGTAACTGAGACTGATTTCTTTTCACATTAAAGCTGTTGACACAAAGGTCTTTATATAAATGTGACTGATGCATCTTCGACTTTCTGTCAGTTTTATTCTGGATTTGTCTACTTCTTTTCTAAATTCATACTTTTAAAGAAAAGAAGGAAGACGCTGCTTTTACTCATTTTACAGCACCCTGGGTTCTATTATCAGAGAGGGGAAAAGGAGATAGTAGGACCTGAATTAAAGGCAACAGTGTCCAATGTGAGACCCAAGAAATGGTACGAGACAAAGGGGAGCAGCAGACCTCTGCAAACAATACTGCTTTTTTGCAGTGTTTGGATTAAATCCTTGACTGGATTTGGATCGTGGGGACCTTTGCCGATGTAACAGGAGCATTTTTGTTGGAATATTGTGTTGGAAAGAGAGAATTAACTATGCAATAAAAGTACTGCTATTAGTAAACTTGGAGCCCCTCTGAACCTCTACCAAATCCAGGCTAATTAGTGTCACATTGACAGATGAGAACATTGAGCGACACCTCTCTCATACAGTTCATAATTTCATGAATTAAAAAGCCTCCTTTAAATAGACTGTGCACTGGCCCTGACTCAAATTAGACTTGTTCGATGAGTGGTTGCACATCACACAAATCTAAACTACAGTGTATGCATGTCCATACAAAGACAATACAACAGTCATTTGTGTCGAACAGGTCAGAATGTGTGAAAGAGATGAGGGCATGTGAGTTTTTTTGATTGGCTGGACTGTTTTCATGGTGAGAGGCAGACAGATGTGAAATCTCAGCTGTGCAGCTTCCTGGTTATGGCTGTTTGACCTCCAAACAGTCGACTCAAGCAGAGCCGCCGGCCAAAGCGAGCTCATCAAAAACAGCAAAGACCGAACAAGGCTCCTTCTTTCAGACTGTCTCAGAATAACAGGATTAAAGTTTATCTCTGCCCAGCAGTTATTTGATGCTGCTCGCATTTAAATTACATTTCAACAGGAAACATACAACCAGACAGAGCGAGACCCTGTAACACAAGGTTCACATAATAGTATTGGAGTGTTTCAGAACTAGATAGGACACTTTTTTATTCTATATAAACATGAAGACAGGAGGGGACTCAATAACTTGTTTCATTTGAGAAAAACTCCAAAATAATCCGAACTTCCATGATCCTATTCATCTATTTGTATTACTTCATTCTATTAATGTCAGCTCATGTTTCTGCCCTTCTGGAAACTTAGAGAAAATAGACTAATAATAAAGTGAAATATTTTGTTTTTCTATAAACACGAAGGCTTTCTACATCGAGTTCAGATTCAAAGAAATAAAAAAAGAGTTGCAGCAAATTATCAATAATGCAATAAATGAGATAATCCTGAAAGACCCAATAACGTAAATTGATATAAGCCTTGCTTTAATTAAAAATATATCAATTCCCATCCCGGGGTTCTGTATCGAGGTTGTGTAAGTTGGTGTGAGTACCTGAAGGCAGATGTGATTTTCAGAAGGACACTTTGTCACTAGTTGCCCGGTGAGCTGTTGAAATCCAGAGGGTCTCTGTTGGTCCAGAGGGTTTCTGTTGGTCCAGAGGGTTTCTGTTGGTCCAGAGGGTTTCTGTTGGTCCAGAGGGTTTCTGTTGGTCCAGAGGGTCCCTGTTGGTCCAGAGGGTCTTTGTTGGTCCAGAGGATCCCTGTTGGTCCAGAGGGTCTCTGTTGGTCCAGAGGGTCTTTGTTGGTCCAGAGGGTCTCTGTTGGTCCAGAGAGTTTCTGTTGGTCCAGAGGGTCTCTGTTGGTCCAGAGGGTCTTTGTTGGTCCAGAGGGTCTTTGTTGGTTCAGAGGGTCTCTGTTGGTCCAGAGGGTCTTTGTTGGTCCAGAGGGTCTTTGTTGGTCCAGAGGGTCTCTGTTGGTCCAGAAGGTCTCTGTTGGTCCAGAGTGTCTTTGTTGGTTCAGAGGGTCTTTGTTGGTCCAGAGGGTATTGGTGGTCCAGAGGGTCTCTGTTGGTCCAGAAGGTCTTGTTGGTCCAGAGGGTCTTTGTTGGTCCAGAGGGTCTCTGTTGGTCCTTTGGTCGAAGGAATTTAAACCCTGAAAAAACAACGAGATGCAGGTCAGATGAGTCCACTCAGTCCTTTACAATAACAGTGTGGTTGAACATAACACAACCTACTGTACAGGTAAGATAAATATTATGATTGATAATGATGATTAAACATTGTGTTCCATGAAAACCTTTTCTTTCCACTTATCTTTGAAATATGGCAAGAAATATTAAATCGATAACAGATGGAGTCTTCAATATGATTAAATATCTGATTAGAAGTCCAGGTCAAGTCATGTGTTTCTATCCTGAGAGGCTCGGCTGAGTTTCTGGATCTTACCTCAAATTAAGTATTAATGTGGGCAGACTGTCAGCAGCACACACACACACACACACACACACACACACACATACGCATGACTCATCACATTATAAAAGAATGTGAGCTTTAACACATATCAAATAAATCTGCCTCATGGTCCTCAACCTGTTTTCTCTTCTATTGATCATTTAATCTCCACCTGCTCACTTTCTCAAGATCTTAAAATGAGTCAATAGTTTGGGACGGAGTGGAGCAAAGCATGAAGTCACATCGTTAAATAATGGTCACCTCTGGTATAAGTTATTTTAAAATAAGATGCATAACCGTTTGGCCTCTTAGCAGAAAGTCCAAAGATATTCCTGTTTGTTTATAAAGTTATAAGGAGATCTTGGAAGACAACACCTTCCAAACGATCATTTAAAACCTCTCATTCACAATGTTTCAGTCTGTTTCTGTTTTTAATGGGATATAACAGATCCAGATGATGGTGTGTGATTCATTCTTCTTCAGGCTGTATCAGTTGTATTGATCGCTCACAGAGGGATAAACACAATTTCAGGTATCTCACTCAGACATCGTCCAACCCTTTATCTCTGAACGTTTTATTGTTGAGTTTGCCCTCCTCTGCATTTAACTGATTGTTTGTCTGATATTGTTTTTGTCACTCACAGATCCAGGAAATATGATATGATCATTCTTAAGTGACCTTTCACTTGCCTAGTAATTACACATTGTTATGATGGAGGCCCT